ACTAGCAAAGCACTAATGTTGGTAACATTTAGGCGAGTAGCTTTCATCTTGTTGCAGATATAAGGTAGAGGAAGTAAAGGTATACAGGGTAGCCACTTTTTAATTGTAGTGTGTTGCGGAAAATAGTTAAATATGCCAGTATTGACTTTATATTTTAAGTGAATTTTGAATTGTGTTTATATTGATTAAACCACATAGAATGAATCGAAAAATAAATTTAGTTGTTAAAACAATGAACACAATATTGACAGTTGGGCCAATAAAGTCGTCAAACCCGCTTATAATCCTCTAAGAGGTATAACATTAATCTTAATAATATAAATGATTTAATATTCAACAGGTGACAAGCGTACCTATTTTGAAATTTGACAATAGACATAAGACATCGACAGGTTGACACAGGATAATAACAAGTAGATTGATCATTCTAAAGTGGTTCTGGAGTCAACAGAGGTAAACCAAACTTATCATCAAGAAACCAAAAATATATAATTATCAAAACTGTTGAAATAGAAATATTTTAATTGAATTAAATTTTCAATGTATTTCTTTCTAATTAATTGGACAATATTATATAAAAAATTACCTACTCACTCATGCGTATATTGTAAAAGCTTGATTTAATAATTGAAAATAAATTAATTGCTTGTTTATGGAATGACTTTTTAATCAATTAAAATTAGTTTCAAAAACAATTAAAACGTTGTCGTTTATTAAGCAGAACATTTTATGTTATAATTAATAATAAAGTAAATATTTGTCCAAACATCATTTATACATAGTTTATACCATACGACAAAAAAATATGTTCATTTAAAATAAAATCGTTTACAAGCGAATTTTGTGAATACGTACCCTACAATAAATAGAACGAAAAAAAAATAATTTAAAAATGATTTAAATATATTTATTAAATTAGAATAAAAATAAATATATTATACTTTTTTCAGTGTAATAAACTTCTCCTAACAACTAATTTTTATTTAAAAATTATTAACTTCTTCATTAAGCATAATATATTTAGGAGCCCATTTTTTTTTTGAAGATTTTAAATTGATGTATACATTTTTTCGTTTGTTTTTGTCTTCTTACTTATGTAAAAATAAAAAATAAAAATTAAAATAATAAATGTAAAAAGTGAAATAATAACAAATGCAAAGAATAACAAATAAATTAAATAAGTACCTTGAAAGTACCTGAAAAAACGAGCAGTATTCTGCCAAAAAGCTTACTCTTAACTTTTTCCTAACTCTCGCTATATATTTTTAAAAATGTTGCCATATATTATTGCTATATATTTTTAATATAATTGCTATTCATTATTACTATTTATTTTTGTTGTTTGAGGGTGATTGAATGCGAATGAGGGAGGCTGGAAGCTGAAATATATTGAAAATAGGTAAAAACATTGCAAAAAAAGAAAAATTTATCAGTTTTAATTATTTATTTTTTTATTTAAGGAAGAAAATCTTTTCCAAAATCACTGTCCTTGCTGGAAATAGAAATATTTATATCTTTAGTCATTCAAAAGAAATGTAAATATCAAAACTAGGTACTGAGGGGGCTCCCTCGAAATCGGAAAATGAAGGGAGAAAATGGGGGTCATATTCAGATTCAGCAAGTCATTTTATATAAAAATTAGCAGAAATAGTGTGAAAATGCATAAAAAAATTTGAAAACCAGTGTACGAAATTGCATGCAATTATTAGGTCAGCTAGAACATAATTAGAATATAGATATAACCAATTATGAGTGTAATAATTGCAGCCATCAAATATTTCACTCATTAAAAGCCTTTTGTCGTAAAATAGATAAAATAGAATGTACAGGAAGTAAATATCAAATAAATAATTAACAAACCCTGTTCAATCGTAATAAACTAACGTATTAATTAAACTTTGTTTATACAGGGTTGAAATAAAGTATTAAACCAAGCAAATATCTTTATAATGATGATATTAAAGATTGCTGTAATGACGCATACGATTTTTTGATTTAACTGTACGTACTTCTTTTTTAACTGACAGTAACTTAAACTTATTTTATTTAAATGGGACCTTGTATATTTCTGTAAATTTGAATAAACCTTGCTCTTCCAAATGTTTAGCTCTAGTTTACAAAAATTATATGTCTATAAAATTCTGTGACCATAACAAAAAAATAAACAAACTAAAGAATCATTCTTCCACAAACTTAATACCAGAAGAAAACAAATAGAATTTTAAACTATAAAAGCTACAAAGTTAGTTCGAAAAAGTATTTAGTTTAATTTTTTCAAAAATTTATTTGGATGAAAACCTCATAAACAATTATTACACATCAAGTTTAACCAGCTATCATTCCACTAATCATAAAATTAAAAAAGATATTAAAATTAAAACTAAATTTACCTCATAAGAAATAGTTTGAGCAACTGAACGTAATCTTCCTAATAAAGAATAATGAGTATTAAATAGATTAGAGTATTAAATAAATAGAGTGGTAAATAAATTATTAAAATACACAATAGACTATTAATAGCCTATTAATAAATTATTAGTAGAATATTAATAAGGTAATTAATAGAGTATTAAATGAAGTAATAATTAGAGTAGAATACTCAATAGACTACTAAATAGACTATTAATTAAAATTGAGTATTAGATAAGGTAGAATATTTAGTATTAAATGGAATTTTAAATATATTATTAAATAGAGCATTACTACATTTAATTCTATATTTAATATTCTATTTATTACTGTATTTAATACTTTACCCTATAAATAAATATAATAATAAATGGAATATTAAATTATTAAATAGTGTAATAAATAGAGTAAAGTGTTAAATAAAGTAACAAATGTAGTAATAACTAGAGTATTAAATATAGTGTAGTAATAGATGGAGTAATAAATAGATTTGAGTTTTAAATAAATAGAGTAATATATTAAGTAGTAAATAAATTAATAAATACGGTACTAAATAGACTATTAATAGACGCTTAATAGATTATTAAATAGAGTAAAGTAATAAATATTGTATTAAATGGAGTAATAAATAGAGTATTTATTAGAGTAGAGTATGGAATTTTAAAGAGTATTAAATATAGTTATATAAAGTATTAGATATGATTAAATAGAGTATTACATAAAGTAACAAATAAAGTATTAAATTGAGTTTTACATGGAGTATTAAATAGAACATTAAATGGAGTATTAAATAGAGCATTGAAATAGTAATAAATAGAGTAAAGTATTAAATAGAGTACTAAAGAAAAGATTACTAAATAGAGTACTAAAGAGAGCATTGAAAAGATTACTAAATAGAATAAAAATAAAGTATTAAATAAAGTAATAAATGAAGTAACAAATAGAGTAATAAATATAGTAGAGTATTAAATGAAATAATAAATAGATTATTACATAGAGAATTAAATAAAGTATTGAATAGAGCATTAGATAACGCAATAAAAAGAGTATTAAATGGAATTTTAAATAGTGTGTTAAATGGTGCATTACTACATTTAATTCTACATTTAATACTCTACTATATTTAATATTCTATTTATTACTTTATTTATTACTGTATTTAATACTTTACTCTATTTATTACTCTATTTAATAAAATATAGTAGAGTATTAAATGTAATAATAAATAGAGTATTAAATAAAGTATTAAATTATTAAATAACGCAAAAAATATTTATTGGAGTAGAGTACTCAATAGATTCCAAAATAGGCTATAAAATAAAATTGAGTATTAAACAAAGTAGAGTATGGAATTTTAAATATAGTATTAAATAGAATTACATAAATCATTAGATATGATTAAATAGAATATTACACGGAGAAATAAATAGAGTAGGGTATTAAATAGAGTAATATATAGAGCATTAAATGAAGTATTAAATAAAGTATTAAATAGAGTATTATATAGAGTCTTAAACAGAGTAATAAATATAGTATTAAATAGAGTATTAAAAATAGTAATAAATAGGGCAAAAATTATAATTTTAAATAGAATATTAGATAAATTAATAAATAGAATTTTAAATAAAATAGTAAATAGAGTGGGATATAAAAAAATAAACAGGGAAAGAGTAATAAATATAATAAATAATATGGTATTAAATACAGTAATTAATAAGATATTAAATATAGTATTAAATAGAATAATAGAGTATTAAAAATAGTATTAGAGTATTAAATAGAGTATTGAATAGAGTAATAAATAGAGAATTATACAAAGAATTAAGCAGAATATTTTAAAGTAGTATTGTTTCAGTAGTGATTCTAGTGATTCATTTTAATCAGATATCATGCAGCAAATCTATTAACCTATTAAAAACATTTTATGTTAATTTTTTAGATGTGTCTATGAGATACAAAGCGACTAACGATGTTTTTAATACCCGTTAAAATGATTTGTAAAATAACAATTAATATAAAGCTGGCTTCAGATTCTCGCAAACCTCTGATACTTCGCGAACGCGATGTTGGATGACTTTTACTTCCATTTACGTTTGTTCACGCAATGTTCTCAAAATAAATAGAGTTAATAAATGCGAATGCTATCCACATTCATAGACCACGGCAGTACTCACTGTTGCCGGTTTTACCGTTTAAACAGTAGATCTACTGCATTTTTCACTTTCCTACTGTTCTTCTGTTTTGAGATCAAAATCAACTTATTTCAACAAATTTAATTAAAAATTACTAGAGTACAAAGTTTTTGTTATTTTTATAATGTAATTAAAGCTTTCTATCTGCTAAATTTCCCAATATGTTTTTTGTAATCAAGCCAGTCAATTTTTTTACATGTTTACAATACTTAACTGTATATAATACCTATATTGTAAATTGTAAAATAAAATTCTTACATAAAATTAGTGACACCATCCATTAATACTGCTTTCTTTGTTTCAGACGTGCCATACTAAGCAATCCAGACCTTCTATCAAAAACACCATGGACTCGACTTCTAGAAAACGATTTCTGGGGCACTCCACTCAGCGACAGCGGATCGCACGGATCCTACAGACCCCTTTGCGTCTTAACTTTTCGCCTAAACTACGTCCTAGGAGGTTTTCAACCCTGGGGTTACCACTTGGTCAACGTTCTTCTCCATTGCTTAGCAACGGCTTTGCTAATCCGCCTCGCTAGACTGGTGCTTCCGAAGACAAAATCAAAAGTGGGATCATTAGTTACTGGATTGATATTTGCAACGCATCCTATACACACAGAGGCAGTTGCTGGGGTAGTAGGAAGAGCAGATCTAGCAGCTTGTAACTTCTATTTTTTATCGTTACTAGCCTATATATCTCACGTGAAATGTCGGGATACCATGTACTGTCATCGGTTTTGTAAGAAAAATACCGCAATTAAGTCTGATTCCAAGCAGTATCAAAAATTTGTCTATTCTCTTCAGAAAAACGTAACCAGTTGCAATTGGCCAAAGAGAAACTTTAAAGATGTGGAAAATAGTGAAAGTTCTTCCATGGTTGTGAAGAATCAAGAAATAGTTAGTGCGTGTTGTTGGAAAAATAATTTGAAATTGTGGATATATTTGGTTTTATGTTTGTTACTAGCAGTGGCTGCAATGTTGAGCAAGGAAACTGGAATTACTGTGCTGGGGCTATGTTTTGTGTACGATTGGGTTTACTGCATATCGAACAATAAGGTAAGGAACACTTTTTGGTTAATTTTGTTTTTATAAATATGTATCTGTTTAAAAGGAGAGATAGAAATTCAGACAATTGTAGTTAAACACATGATGTGTCAAAAGAGAGTTATATTATTTTAAATTTAAAACACTCTACAATTTATTTTTAACTTGATTGAAGTTTAAATTAGAATGTCCTAAATAGTAAAAAATTATCTACGAAAAATATCATATATCTACGTTATTATAAAAACATTGTCATCATATAACTACTACATCAACAAAACTGATTATAAATATGTTTTTTAAGTGTGCCAATATTGAACATAAACAAAAGGTTGTAAGGGTGAAGATAGAGATATCGAGGAGATTAGTGAAATTTACCATTTCCGTTAGAATATATATGTGGGCATATCGTTAAAAAGTAAATTGAAAAAAATAATTACCAACTCAATTTTATATTATATAATACACTATTGTTGCTATTAAACATTCTATTTTGGTGCATAAAAAAATTGTACATGATAGTATTTTGTTATGATAGAAAGATTTTTATTTGTCAGCAGAAGAAAAGCCACTTGAGCCTAATTTTTTAAAATTTCCGCAGATCTGGGGAAATTTGTAGATGAGGCAACGTCGCAATACATGGAGTAGATGGGAAGTATTTTTTACATTTCGGCAGACATCGAGCGATTTTGTAACCAGACAAGTCACAGAAATTAGGTAACGTCGCATTTTGACACGACGCTTCGATCGAAAGATCCCTTAGACAGTTAAGATCGTGACTTTTCTAGCTACTAAATCGCTCCATGTCTGCGGAGATGTAAAAATACTTACCAACTACTCCATGTATTGCGACGTTGTCACATCTACAAATTTCCCCAGATCTACTTTCTACTTTTGTCAAATCTTCGATACCTTCTTTTCATGCACTTTAAAAAAATTGTACTTTTTACATATATTTTTACAAGATATTTAAATATTTAAAAAACATTCTTTTAACTGATTATCATCAATGCTTGGCTTAGCAGTTCCAGTAAAGTAACCTGTACTATAGTTCACCACTTCCTGCTTAGCTTGTTGGCCCAGCCCTTAGTAACCGATCGATAACTCTGTCGAGAACAACCCCTGGATGGTAGATCATTAGTAAATCACAGAACAAGTAAAAACGTTTCATTGTCTACTTCATTGCCTGAGCATTCAATAAATAACTAATTTTTCCTTCAAATTTTCATTTATAATAGTTATATTCATTTCCATAGAGTTGTCCCGAAGTTTTAGCGTGTTATCATTTATAGGAAAGTGTATAATATGAAAATGGAGTATAAATAGCAGAATATTTATATGCATAACACTCACAGATATTTATGGGCTTTTGGAAGCCACATGAAATAAATATATGCATTTAGATGAAAGATCTTTGTTTGTTTAATGGTCTATATTTAATACTGTTATGAAGGGAAACGACTTCTCGGATCAATATTTGCTTTGTTCTAAATTTAAATTTATATTCTAAATTAAATCGAACATATAATATAATAAATATCGTCAGTTTATATATAATTTTTTTATTAAATTATTGTTGTAGAAAAAATAAAAACAAACATGAATAAATATAAAATTAATGTTGATGTTTATTTTATTCCATATTGTGATTATAATTACAAAATCGATCCTAGAGTAGCGCTGGGATATTTTTCTATTTTCGATTAATAATCTTTTCCAAACATTGAAGCCATAGTCAAACATGTTTTTCTTCATCTTCGGCACATAAAGACCCCTTGTCAACATACTTGGTCATGTTAACAAGAAATTATTCATTCACTCTCCTACCTTTTAGTGACGTAATAATAATAGTTTTATTTTTTTTATGAATTGTTATAAACAAATAAATGTCTTTATTTCAAAATAAGTTTACAAATTACTGTTGAGGCTGTTTTACCGCTTTCCGTTCAAGCGAAGTTGAGAAGTACTTCATCCATTTCAGAGAATACCTTTGTACTTAAGTGTACTCTTTGTTTATGTAAAGACAATTAATTGTACTTGTAATAATTATCTTTCTTAGTTCAGTCTAACGGGATGTCTATCTTTCTCGGTATTCATCTCCACCTGAAACGCGGGCTGGCCAAATTTATCGGTATATCGTAACTATTGTTTTGATAGTAATTTATTTGCAAGGAATATTTTTATTTATTAATTCGATGACAGATTAAAAAGTTTTCTTTCTTTATCTAGTGGAATTATTTTTTAAATGGATAATTAACTACATTTAACTTGATTTTATTTATATTCTAAAGTGAAATAGTAAAGAATTTTTATACATATAAATATTGATCGTATTTTTTGTAAACATTATTCTTGTTATTATTACTAATATTCGATAATATACACTTGGTATCCGCGCGAAAGTTTTGGATGGCTTTATTTATGGTATGTATATTTAAAGTACGAAACTGATTTATGGAAAGTACTTTAATGTACAGTGGTACATAATATAAAATATTTGTTTTCTTAAAAATAATCGCATCAATCTCACAATTAATTTGTAGTGTAGATGAAAAATTTTTTGAAAACTATTTTATCGTACGCATGTATATTTTATTGTACATAATATAATTATGCTTTGTCAAAATAAATCAAAAACTTAAATAAAAAAACTTTAATTACCTAGTATTTTTAATGAAACATTTTATTTCACATAACAAAATACAATCACAAAAAAATACATCAATTTCTTCTTACAACTTCTTTTATTAAATATTTTAATTAAAAATCAACTAACTTTGGTTGAGCACATAACCAAAAATTGTCATCTCTCTCAATTTTCTCAATGAACATTCCTAGAAGGGTCCAAACTATAAAATAACAATATTTGGCTTTCGTTATAGCCAATTGTCCTTGTACCTTATAATAATAATTATATATTTTTTTTTAATTTAATCTGTATTGACTAGATATATAATTTTTTTCTCTTGAATTCCCATTTCTCGTGTCAATTTGGAACAAGAATATGGACATTTAATTACAATTATTTTATTATTAATAATAATGACGTCTGGACTTGCTCCCAATTATGTATGTTTTTCATAAATAAATAATTTACATTCTTGTACCGTTTTTTCATAATTATTTTTTAATTTTTCTATCGCAATAGATTCATGATCTTGTCCCCATTTTGTAGTGACTGATCCATAAAAAGATGAAAAGAATTTGAAGCCGTGAGCATATTATTGCGATGTTCTTTCCATAGACCATTACTGGCCTGACCTCTAATAGATACTTCAATTTTATAAAAATTATCTATTGGTTTTGGTAAACTATCCAAAAAATGCAGTATTTTTGTTCCAAAACATCGTCGTCATCATCATTGTATTGAAGTTCGTAGCCCCTTTCTTTAGGTGCGCCACTTTTGCCTTTTTTGAATTGAGGGCCCCTGGCTTTTCTACTACATCTACGTTAGCTCATTTGATTAACTAATCTTTGTGTGTGAATCCTAGGAACACTTTTGGGAGATTATGAAATATATAGGTATTGAATTTTCTCTTTGTGGTGAAATTTTAATTTTGTGGCAGCAGATAAATGGTTAAGTTGACCTTGAATGAACCTGGTAAGATTACTACGTTACAGGCAGAGATAACAGAGATATAAGAAGTCATTCATAAAATATAATATTCATGGTGCCAAGAACAGTTCGCACTCAAAACATTCTATTTCTAGACGCGGGGCGAGGCGACGAAAGGTGAGAAGTAAAAGAAGGGATACAGTGAAGAATTTTACATAGTTTTATCAATGAATTACTGCCCGAGCTTTTAATACTTAAGGTTTATATGGACCCACCTCCTCACTCGTTTCTGACTCTAGAGATGGCTCTACCTGTCGCATCAAATTTAGTATACAATTTGTTAAATTTACAGGGTTCTATCTGTGATAGAATAATATTTCGTTAGTTTATATCGCCGCCAAAAGAGACTGCTAGCACAATAATAGATTACGCGGGAGATCTTTATGATTCGATGCGAAGAACGTTGCGAAACTTCAATATAATTATGTTTTATTTGTTTATGTTGTGGGAGGTGAGGTGTTGAGCGCGGACGGCCCAAGCGATCCAGCTAAGAGATGGATATGACCTGGCGAGCTTTTGTTAAGTCTTCCACTGGTCCGCTCAATCATTCTCAACTATGAACTTTACTGAAATAAAATTATTTAGGGTGAGCGCATTATCCTTAAAATATGGTATAAAATTAGAACAATATAATCTATGTGGTTTGGCGAATGGACTCAGTTCGCGCAGTCAAAAAATTGAAATAAAAAAAAACTGACTGGAGGATACGTTCGCGCGCTATGGTTGGGTACTATTTAATAATTAAATGAATATTAAATAATTTCAATGAAAACTATCCTTAATTTTAAAGGTGAGAAGAGAAAGAAAAAAAAAATAGACAGAAAGGGAAAGAAAGAAAGAACGTAAACAAAAGCTCAAAAAAAGCAACTTCCAGACGATTCAATGTACACCTCAGGTATACATTTTTGAAATCGAATAGTATAAAAGAGTAGAAAAATGTGATAGTATACAGAGTAACTAACTAATATGTACCTTAAAGATAAAAAAATGACTCAAAATCAATCCCACGTTATTTAATTTTAGGAAGTTAAATGACAACCGGTTTCGGGATTAGGCCATCATCAAGTCTAAAAATAAAGTAATAAGCGCTTACAATATAAAATCACGTCTCCATAAAATATTTAAAAAAAATACACGTGTATGATTAAAAAGGCAGTTGTAAGAGATACCATATGTGGGAAATATGATAGAAATTGTACAAGTTGAAAAAGATTTGCATAAAGAAACTTATAGGCTAACACTACTCATCGCCATATTCTCACATTTGTCAACATGTCCCACATATGATATTTCTTACAACTACCTTACCCTTGTTGGGGCTCGGTTTTAATCATGCACGTGTATTTTTTTAACATTTTTATGGGGACGTCCTAGTAGTGTTTTGTTAGCGCTTATC